CATTTTTTTTTGATGTAGAAATCGGAAAGGACTAATTTAGGTCGAATTAATGTAAAAATCGAAATAGTCAAATTTTATTAAAATTCAGACTCCGAATTTTAACTAAATTTAGGTCGAATTAATGTAAAAATCAGAATGTTCAAATTTTGTTAAAATTCAGGTGCCAAATTTTTGGTTAAGTTAGGTCGAATTAATGTAGAATTTGGTGTGGCCGAATTTTTATTGGTCGAATTTTAAAAAATTAGCCGATTTTTTGCCGAATGTTATTGTAATTCGACCTGATCGAATTTCTAGTTTTCGACTAGTGAATAATAATAATAATAAAATAATAATAATAATACAATAATGAAATACTAATACTAAATAATAATAATAATAAAATAATAATAAGTAATAATAATAAAATAATAATTCATTTTATAATATTTCTGTTCCTTTTAAAAATTTACTTCATAAATTCTATGTTCTAATTGATTCAAGAAGTTGAATGTACTCATCATCTAGCAACTTGATATATGTGTCACAGTCACATACTTCAATGGCTGGGTTATTTCTTTTGGTCACAACTTGAGGACTTTGTATATTCTAAAAGCACCTTTTCAAGTATCTTTTGCTCTTCTTGTTATTTGAGCATTCTGGATAAGGTCTTTAATCTCTGAAGGGTTATTGGACTTTGAGATTATTTGTTCTAGATAATAGTAAGCTTCAATTTTCTTGTTAAAGTTATTTCAAGTATGTTCAGGATTGGATAAGAACTTTAAGATTTGATTAACTTGTTCTTTCTATGTTCCTCTAAAAAAAAGATTGGTTATGCTTCAAGTTGTTAGTTCTGGTGTCTGTTTCAAATCATTTATTATTCAAGTTAGATAGTTAGTATTATTATTTTCTAACTCTGTAGATACTTTATTAACTGGAGTTTTGATTAGAGAAGGTTGTATCTCTTTAATTGTAGAAATTTATTGATATTAAATTCTATAGGAGCTTCTATTATAGGATTTAAGTTGATAACTTTTTCTGGTTCTTTATCACACCAAAGAATAATATTTTAGTGTGATATATCTAAGTGGTTTTGAGATGCAAGGTCCTGTTTTCAGATTTGGAAAAAGTTGTTTAAAGTGATTACTGTTTCTGGTGTAATTTTAAGAATTCTATTTTTAGGAAAATTTATATGATTCAAGGAAGTTTATATAAATTTCTAAGTATCACAATCTTTGAATAAATTGTAACATTAAAAAATTTATGTAATATTAGTGTCTTTTCCTCTAGTTTTGGAAATTTCTTCTAGAAATTCCAATTATTCAATAAGAACAAAAGGTTTCTATATTTGTTTTTTATAATATTTAGCAAGACAATCATTATTATAGTACTTTTGTAATATTTTTCTTTTGTTATTAAAAAGTTTATAGGCACCATTGTTCAATTTTTCTTGAATAATAAAGGGTTCAGTTTTTTTATCTTCGAATTTAGCTAATTGAGAATGTTCTATGTCTTTTCTAATTATTCATACTTTGTCACCAATTTTGAAAGTTTCATAACAGATTTTGGCATCAAAGTATTTTTTCTGTTTTTGTTGTAATTTATTGCTCTTTTCTTTTGCATCATTTTGCAATTCAGATAGCTTGTCAATAAGCTCAAATGCTCAGTGCAATATGCTATTTTGTAAATTATATTCTGTTTTTTTATAAAGTCAATAGGAAGTAAGGCTTCAATTAAAAGAACAGCTTGTCATCTGTATACAAGCTGAAAGAGAGTATATCTAGTTGTAGCATACTTTTTTGTTTGATAAGCAAGCAGTACAACAGGTATATATAAGTCTCAGTCATCATTTCCTTTAGTGATTCATATAAGGTTCAATTAAAATATTTAACTATTCCATTTGTCTGTGGGTGGTATAGTAAAGAGAACTTATATTTGATAAGAAAATTTTTACATAAAATATAAACAGTTTCACTAATAAAATTTCTTTCTTGATTAGAGAGAATAATCTTTGATGTTCTATATAAACAAATAATTTCTTCAAAAATAAACTAAGCTAAGGTATTTTCTCTGTATTAGATACAGCATGGGCTTCTAGCCATCTTGTTAAATAGTTAGTAGCAACAATAATATATCGATTATTTTGTCTAATAAATAGTAGTAGTCCTACAAATCAATTCCAATTTGTTTGAAGGCTTGTCCTATTTGGATAGGGTGAAGAGGTTCAGTTTGTTTGTCTTTTAGTCTCTTTTGGCATTTTTTACATGTTCTAACATATTCTTATACATCTTAATATATTTGGTCCTAATAATATCATTTAGCTATTTTATAATACATAGCATCTGTTTCTAAGTGTCTTGTAGTAGGATGTTTATGCATCATATTGTGATGATGGATATTGTGATACTGAAAATTGTGACCAATCACATGAAAAATGCACAAAATACAATAAATGCAATAAGTGCAATAAATGTAATAAGTGTAATAAGTAACATTTAAGATCAGAAAAGGTATTTTGGATCTAAAGGAGTAGATAAGAAATAAACAGAGGAAATAATGGATATTAAATAAATACATGTAAATGAGTTTAATTAGTTTTAAAAGATAAATCACATTTGTAAATGACAAATTGAGTATTATAAATAAAGGCTGAAATGGCCCTAAGAGACAATATGTCTCATTTGCTTAATCAATAAACAAGCCCTAATACATTGTAACATTCATAATAAAAACTCTAACACTATACCTGGCATAAATCCTATAAACACCAATAATTATCATTGTTCATTCAAGCCCTTGTACACATGACTTACCCTACTTGCATTCATTGACCCAAAGTAACTGAAAGCCTTTCTTGCTCACAAACCAAATCTAACACCCTCTTTCGAAAAGGTTACTTGTCATACATTATATGAGGTTTAGAATTTTTGAGTGACCAAGTTGCAAACTTCCGAACCCAACATTTTGGTAGTGACTGTAAGATCGTACAACTTCCTTAGCAATGAATCATTCAAGCAGCTGGGCTGCAAAATTGGAAGACCCAAAACTCAAGAAAAAAGAAAGAGACTACAGCCTTATTTGATGTACTGTAATCCCAGCTGTGGTAAAAGAGAAGAATTGGTATAATTACGTTTAGTACTGACAAAGTGTGAAAAACTGAATCTAAAAAAAAGAGAAAACTTACCCAAGAAGAAGAGTGCCAACCCCAATTCGACATATAGCAATCCTAATTGAGGCAGCAAGAAAGACAAGAGTTAGTGAGAATAGGTTTAAAAAAAGACTCAAAGAGGAGGTCAGTACTTACCTATGATAAAGAGCTCTTGAGATTCTAAAAAAATGTATGGACCAATCACTGCCAATTAAAATTATTAGCAAAACAGGACCCAAACAAAAGTACCTATATGATAGCAAGTTCCAAGAAATAAACTAATTCAAAGATGCCATTGAAGAGAAGTCATGTGCACCTATTGCAAAAAAAAGAAACATAATATTAGTAGCTGTCCAAAGATAAGAAAGTTGCAGCTAAAATGTCTGAAGTTGATAGACGTACTTACCAAAGAGCAAATAGTGAAAGTTCTGGAAATAATGGATGAACCTATAAAAAACTGTAGCTTTTCTGACTTGAAAGACCTGGAATGCTTTTTAAAAATATTAAAAAATGTTAGCTGAAATAACAACCCTGATGATGATGATAAAAAAGATAATATTAAGTACCTATCCTCATATATCTAACTAGCCCTACTTGTAGAAAAAGAAGATACATCTCTTGTGCCTTCAGAAGTCCCAAGTTGAAAATTTTCCTCAAAACAATTCTGTTATCAGAAAGACCTGATTGAAGAAGTAATTAACCTCTATTTGGCTTTGGAAGCAAAGGATATTAACCCTAATGCCAAAGTCCTCCTAGAAAGCTTGATCGATAGATACTTGGAGACACTCATGCTTGAAGAACTAGAATCCATCAATCATAGGTACTATTATCAAAATGAAACTGGTGTTGAAAAAAATAAAAATAATAAAGTTAGAGTGAAAAAAGATGAACAAAAGACATTCGAATATCTTCAGAAAGCCTCTAACATAAAACTTGTTAAAGAAACCTTTAACATTGGCTATCATTGCGAAAATAGAATTGCAATTGAAAAGGATGGACATAAAGGGATTGGAGTTCAAAAAAGTAAATGTAAGACATTCGAATATTATGAAAAATCTGACAATTTAAATAAAGATCATGGAGTATTTCCTGTTGGCTATTGTCATGAAAAAGGAATTGGTGTTAAAGAAGATGAACAACTGACCTTGAAATGGTGCTTGAGATTAGCTGAAGATGGTTAACGATTCATGTTAGAAAACCTGAACAAAGCCTGCGAAGATTAGAATAAAAGAGTTAATGAATACAGAAGATTGAGCCAAAATGACACAAAAATAATAAAGAACTCTTACCTAGTTGAGCCTAGTAATCATTACAAGGATGGTGCATGTAAAAGATGTTTAGAACATGTAGAAGATGGTAATATAAATGGACAATTTGACCCTGTTAGAGAATTTGCTAGTAAAAAAAAAGATAAATTAAGCGAAGTTAAATTCATACCACCATTGGACTTGTTACTTGGTTCTGCTTCCAATAAAATCATAGAATGGTTTAGGAAAAAAGGTGAAGAATATAAAAAGAGCCTCAAAACATATACATCATAGAAAGTCTTAAGTTGGAAATCTTGGCCTACTGAAAAAAAGAAGGTAAAGTTAGCAAAGTCAGACAAAAACCAATTTTCCAAGAAGAATCAAGTGAAAAGATCCACCCTGTACTTACCAAAGTGGAATGAAACCTTGGTATATGACCCTGAAAAAGGATGTCATAACTGATCTCTTGTTTTTGTTCCTGGTTGCATATAACAGTTGTATGCATAAGATGAGGTGTACCCTTCATGAATATTTGTCTTGAAAGTCCAATCTGAAGGAGACCATAGATGACATCATGAACCTATTCTCGATCGATGTCAATCAGTATCCCTGTCCTTTACAATAACCTATGATTATATGAAAGAAGATTATGCATAGTACACATGACCTAAGCAGGAGAGAAATATGACAACAGATATTATAATACCAAAGATCATAACCAATCACTTAAAAAATGCATGAAATGCAATAAATGCAATAAGTGCAATAAATGTAATAAATGTAATAAGTAACATTTAAGATCAGAAAAGGTATTTTGGATCCAAAGGGGTAGATAAGGAATAAACAGAGGAAATAATGGATATTAAATAAATATGTGTAAATAAGTTTAATTAGTTTTAAGAGATAAGTCATATTTATAAGCGACGAATTAAGTATTATAAATAAAGACTGAAATGGCCCTAAGAGACGATATATCTTATTTGCTTAATCAATAAACAAGTCCTAATACATTGTAATGTCTATAATAAAAACCCTAACACTATACCTGGTATAAATTCTGTAAATACCAATAACCATTATTATTTGTTCAAGCCCTTGTATACATAACTTACCCTACTGTATTCGTTGACCCAAAGTAACCGAAAGCCTTTCTTCCCACAAGCCAAATCTAACACTCTCTTTCGAAAAGGTTACTTGTTATACATTATACAAGGTTTAGAATTTTAGAGTGACCAAGTTGCAAACTTCTGAACCCAACAATATACAGAACAGGTTCTACTTCATTCCATTTAATAACATGAAGAGGGTACTAAGAGTTTTTTTTGTTTTTCTTATATAATAGTTCCTTCTTAGTAATAAAATGTCTAGCATGATTTTGTATTTGTTTAGTCTGTTTCTGTGATAGAGAGTTAGGTAACTTGTCTGATTCTATATAATTATATAAATTATAATAGAGGTTCAAATTTATAAGGAAGGGTTTTGATATATGGTCCTTGTCTGTAGTCAAGATAAAGCATTTATATTAAAATGAACTCTTTCTGGTTTATGAATAATTTCAAAGTTATAGGGCTGGAGTTTTAGAATTCATCTTACTAAGCATCCTTTAGATTCAGCAGATTGTAACTACTTAAGAGCAGAGTGGTTAGTGATGAGGATAAACTTGGCAGTTTCAAGATATTTATGAAAATGTTCAATAGCCTATACAACTGCAGCACATTTGAGTTCAGTAGCACTATAATTGACTTCTCCTTTGGCTAAGCTTTACTAGCATAGACTATAGTATCTTATTTTCTGTTTCTATTCAATTGACTAAGAGTAGCTCCAAATCCATGATAAGAGGCATCGGTAACTAAGATGAATAATCTATCAAAGTCAGGATACTTTATTATAGAGGCTGTAGTTAATCTCTGTTTCAATTCTTCAAAAGCTTCCTGTTGTAGTTCATCTCATATATAAGGGGTTTCTTTACATAGTAGCTGATTTAAAGGCTGTACTACTTTAGAGAAGTTATGAATGAACTGTCAATAGTAACCTACTAATCCTAAGAATGAATGTAGTTAAGTTACATTATTAGGTGGTTGAATCTTCTAGACAGCTTCTATCTTTTGAGAATCAGGTGCTATTTCGATTAAGATAACTATATGTCCCAAGAATAATAGACTTTGCATCCAAAAATTATACTTTTCTAAATTTAATTGTAGATTGGCTTTTCTGATTCTAATAAAAGTTTGTTGTAAATGTTCTAAATATTCATTAAAGGTCTTGAAATATACTATAGTATTATTAAGATAGACTACTACAAATTTCTATGCAATGTCTTGGTATACTCTATTCATCAATTGTTGAAAGATCACAGGTGCATTATATAGTCCAAAGAGCATTATATTAAACTCATATATATCATATCGAGTAATAAAAGTAGTCTTTTTTCTATCTATAGGGTGCATAGCAACTTGCCAATATCCACTTGTGAGGTCAAGTGTAGAGAACCACTTGGATTCTTTTAGGGTATTAAGCATTTTATCGATGCGAGATAAGGGATAGGCATCTTTTTTAGTAATACTGTTAAGTTTATAATAGTCAACACAGAATTATAATTTGCCTTTTTTCTTTCAAACTAATACAACTGATAAGGTCTAGGAACTAGAGGAGAGTCATATAAGTTTACTATTAAGCATTCATTGAATTTTTTTTAAATAAATATCTGTTCTGTGAAGAAGAAGAATAAGGTTAAAATCAAATTAGAGGTCCTTCTTCTATATAGATTCAGTGAGTTACAAGGTCAATGCATTCTAATTCTGTTGTATTTTGTGCAAAAAGATTCGAGAACTCCATCAGCAGCTAGCTAAATTGTTTTTCTTGTTTAGCATCTAGAGGTCTAATGTTCAATTTAGATAGTTCTGGACTAACACTATGTTCTTCATAAAGAATCATAGTATCTATTGTAAAAACTTGATGCATATTGTCTGGTTCAACAGGTAGTTTTTCATACTGCCTAGGATGATCTAAAAATTTGATTTTTCTCATTCCTGAGCAAAGGAAATATATTGTTGTTGAATGGTCTGGGCATCTTGTTGGAATACTTGCAGGAGAGTCTGGGTGAATCTTTCTAACTTTTCTACTTTCTATTAGAGCTGTAGAATAAGTTGGTTCTGGGTTTCGACTTATTGTTATAGTTGTGCAACTTGTAGTTGCAATAGGCCTGGTTCTGGTAGAGTTGTATTAGTGGAGCTAGATAAAGGGTCTGCTGGTTCTGGCATAGAAGGTTCATAGATAGGGACTGGTAAAAAAGCACAGTCTTGGCAATATCCTTGATAGGTATCTAATTCATCTTGATGCTTAACATGTAAGCATTTCTTGCAAAAGTCAACAGAGGCACTAAACTGTTGATGAAGGTTAGCAATAGCAAGCTGATAGTCAAATTCTAGATAGTTAATGTCAAAAGACTTAGCCAAAGTTTGTTGAAGGAGTTGCTCTTCTTCTTCATTAAAGACAGCTTGTTTAGCTCATAAGATAAAGTTCATTTCTTTATAGGTCCATAATTGATTAATTTGGTTATTTATTTGAGGTTCCAATGCTTCAGTAATAGTAAGGTCTGTTTCTTGCAAATAGACTTTGGCAAGACAGAAGATATAAGTCTGGTTCATTTTATACTGAGATTCAGCACTTCTGGTTGACTCAGTGTAGTGTCTAATTCAGGTTCACAGGTTATAATTAGGGTTGTAGAAAACATCTATACTGCTTTGTAAGCATATAAGTGTTTAAGCTTGCAAAATCATAGTTCTCTGTAATACTTTCTAAATTATGCATTCTGTTTCTTGGTTCAACATGTTTGCATAATTTACATTTAACCAAGGTTCCAGATCCATTACCTTGGGTGTAATAATACTGGCTTCTGGATTCATCATGATCAAGGCTTTGGTGAAAGTCAGTATAGCAACCTTTACAAACAAGAACTTTATCTAATTCTTGTAGAGTTTCTGGTCTTTGGGGGTTCTTACTATGACAGCAATGGTGGGTGCAATGATTGCTATGATAGTATTGTCTTTGGGCTTCAATTTCATTAGGGTTGCATCTATATTGGTAGGTCTAATTCTCTTAAGAGAAGCTAAGAGACAATTAACAGCAATATGTTCTATTGAATTGCATTTATAACAAATATTCTCAGAGCATTGTCGATAAAGATGTTCAGGATTTTGCAATTTTTACAAGTTTCTTTTTAAGGAGCTTGTAGTTGACAGTAGACAGCAATATGTTCTTTATAGTAACATCAGCTACAAGTGTTTTGAGGGCAATTGGCAAAGAGGTATTCAGAGAATTTACAGTTGCCACATATACAAGATGAGGCAGTTTGGGTTTATCATCAAGATTGGTAGATAGTCCATTCTTCATTGTCTGTTTCTAAAGTAAGTTGAGCAGTATATGCTTTATAAGATGTAAGGAATTCTTGCTCATAAAGGTCAAGCTCTTTTGGGTCTGTTACTGTTAGTTGGGCAGGTAAAGCATAGTTACTTTCATAAATCATTGGTACTAAAACCTTTTTGTTATTCTACTTGAATGAATAACAGCCATTTTTCTAGTTGTAACTGGTACCAACTTTCTTGAACCAGTCATTACTAAGAAGAAGAAAGTAAGAAGTAGCAGGAACAACTTCAACAGTAATTGGGATAGTCATTCTTTCAATTTCTACAGGAAGGTCTTTAATAATTTCTAGAGGGTATGTAAAAGTAGCAGTTGCTATAATAATTATACTAATAGAGGCTTATTCAATTTTGAGTCCTAATTCTTTGACAGTTTGATGAGCAATCATGCTAATAGCAGTACCACTATCGATGATAGCTTGATAGGGTCTGTTTCTAAGTCAGATATTGCATTTTACAGAGTTAGTATAAGTAGATGTTTGGACTAGGTTGGACTAGGTTAGCATTTTTGGCTTCTTTATACAGATATGCAGACATAGCTGTATAAATATAAAGGTTGTCAAGGAACTGTTTCCATTTTTTTGGTGTTGTGACAGGAGGGGTAGAAGAAGAATCTTCATGCCAAGGTAGTTAACACCTTTATAGTAGAATAAGGATGAGTGAAAACTAGTTCTTTTTCTATTACTATTATAAGAGTCTGAGTATCTGTTTCTTTCTCTAGAGTTTTCTCTTTCTCTAGAAGAATTTTAATAATAAAATCTATCATGACTTTGAGAGCAAGATCTTTGGTTGTGTTTATCATTTCTTCTATAATTATCTCTTTGGTTGAATCATTGTTCAGCTCATCTGGTTCTACATTTAGCAATAAAATGT